CATGTACTAAGGACCTACTGTGTGCAGGTGCTGTGCTGGGAATGCACAGATAAAGCAGACTTGGCCCACTTTCTTAGCGCGCTCACAGCCTAGCGGGGGAGACACCTGTGTACTCAGATAAATGATTCCAGAATGGAATGTTCAGTACTCGGGACTGAAAGGACTCTGAGTTAGAAGAAGTGTGCCCCTAACGCTCTTAGAAGAGGGGACATTTGAGGCGGATTTCAAAAGGTGGATAGGAGGTTGAGGAGTGGAGCTAGGCAGTTGTTGAAAGGCATTAAGGCCAAACAAGAAGAGCATGTTTTGTTCAGATATCAACGAGAAGCACCATGGTGAGGCGGGGGTGGGGGTGGACGAGGCTGGGTAAGGGGAGGTCATAGAGCCTCCACACAAGTCTGAGGAGTTTGGTTTCCCATCTCCTGACCCCTCAGCTGCCTCTCCCCTTGCTCTCTGCCTGCCCTGAGAGGGGTACGGCCCAAGCTATAGGCTCCTGCTCCCTGCACGCACCCTACATCATCCCTTCACCCCCTTCTGCCTGCAGGAACCACACCAAGCCAGGAACTGGCCTCCGAGGCTGAGGAGGTGAAGGAAAAGGTCTGCAGGTTGAACCAGGAGGTGGGTTGGGGCCAGCTTCTCCCCTCAACCCAGAGGATATCGTCTTGGGGTCAGATATGTGCTCAAAGGGAGCATTCAGGGTCTGAAGGCAGAGTCCTGAATTCAAATATTCATATTTGCTGGGTGACAAGTCCCACGACCACTTTGGTCTTCAATTTCCTTCCTTAAAAATGGGGAAACACATGTTCTGTTCTTCTGCGTTGTTGTAAGGATGAGGTGAGAGCCCATGTGTGGGGTCCAGCCCCTGGGGCCTTGTGAGTACTCAGTGACTGGCTTCCTCTCCCTCCCAGCTGGCTCAGGTTGTCCAGCCTGAACAGAGTACCTCGCCGCTCCCCGCCACCGTGGGCTTCTCTCCTGAAGGGACCTGCCCCCCACCCAGTCAGTACTCCAGTCCTTCCCCCATACCCCAGAAAGGGAGTGTTAAGCAGACATGGGAGGTGGGAGGGAAGAGGACTGGAGACACTTTCCACCCTGGGGGACCCAAACCCTGATGTCTGAATCCTGGTCAGGAAGAGCCTAGATCCTGTATGTCTCCACCTCCTCCCCAGGGATCTCAGAGCTGTCACCACAGTGCGCAGCCAGGCCCAGCCCTAGGGAGTGGGCCTTCCCAGGTTCTGATAAACACCAGGCATCCCCAGGGGGGAGGGGGTGGCTGCATCAGGGCTGGGGGTGGGGCCTGCCATGTTCTGAGAGGTGGAGGCAAGTCCTGCTTCCGCTCACTGCCTCAGGCACCCCTCCGTTCTAGGCCAGTGGTCCCCAAACTTGGGGTCCTATCAGCACCTGAAGAACCCATTCAAATTGAGACTCCTGGGCCTCCCCAATTTGGAATGTGTGTGGCAGGACCAAGAAATCTGCATTCTGACAAGTTCTCAGTTGGTTCACTGAAATTTGAAAGGCACTGAGTGGACACTTGATCATCTGTGAGGGGGCCACCTGGGAGTGAGGCTGCCTCGTCCCAGCTTGGCCTCCGCAGGCACATTTGCTGTATCTTGTAAAGGACATGGCAGGGGGTGGGGAGAGCATTATTAGCTCCCGATAACAAATCTGTTTTGGAAAGAGGCCAGCCCTGCCCTGCCTGCTTCTCAGGGTGGCTATGCCGGTGATTGTGAAAAAGCTTTGTAAACTGTAGAGAGGGGTACACCTAGGTGATGGTCATCCTGGCACCTGGGAAATAATTCGATGTGTTTCCACCAGATCTCCCGTCTCAACCAGGAAGTATCTCAGCTGAGCCGGGAGCTTCGACACATGATGGACCTGCTGCAGGCCAGGCTGGGTCCCCCAGGCCACACAGCCTCAACTTGGACCCCACACCCTCCTTGCCCCCAGCTGAGGCCTCCAGCCATCCCTCCCTGTCTGTCCAGACCACCACCTGGCCTCCAGGATACTACTCTCGCTGAGGTCCACTGCCCAGCCGGTGTGGGGACAGTACAGATGGGGGCTGCCCCTACTGACCTGAGACCCTCCACGCTGTCCCCCTACCCCTCAGAGCCTGACCCTCTGGGGCCCACCCCAGAGCCAGAGGCCTCACCCTCAACCCCAAGCCTCATGAGGCACAGCTTCCGGTCTAGGTCTGACACATTCCACTGACCCCGGCCCCGGGCCCAGGCCTGTCTGGGGTGGACATTGCTGCCTGCCACCCAGGGAGGGGCTGGGCCCCTTGGCCTCCTGCCTCGGGTCAGCAGCCACCAGCTGGTCTGGTTGGCTCTGGATTCTCTGGACTTTTTAACAAAGCCTGGTCACTTCTGACACTGTCCCTTCTCCAAACCTCCCCTGTCCTCCTCTGTGAGGAGAGCCACCTGAGGCCGTGGAATCCAACAGGCATGAGACTGAATGCAGTGCCCCTCAGGCTGGGCAGATGAGATGTCCTGCTTTCCACCCAGGGCCTGGAGGCAGGTACAGTTGGGTGAGCAGGAGGGGAGGGAAGTGACGGTGGTGGAGGCAAGAGCAGGCAGAACTTGGGGTCTACAGCAAGCTTAGTGACCTTTCGAGTTCTGTCCCAGCACCCTAGTCTCTGCCGGAGACCTTGAGAGTAGTATCACCTCCAGAGGGGTAGGTTGGAGGTTTGAAGTCTTAGGTTGGTATTTGAGCAACCCAAGACTTGCTAGACCCCCCCACCCTCCACTTCCACCCCTGGCTAGTGGGGCTCATTTCCCCACGCAGGCCCCATGGGAAATAAGCTAATCACCCCTGGACATGGATTCTTTGGTTCTCACTGCATTTTTTCAACCTATGAATTAGTTACCAACAGAAGAGTTAACACAAAAGTCCACAGATGTCAGCTTTTCTTTAAAAATTGGGAGAGCTGGTGACCCTGGGCCAGTGTTTCACCTGGCAGTAGCTGGTGTCAGGTGGCAACTCTGTTCTTTAGGTGGGTCCTACACCCCACCTCTTCCCAATCGCCAGGTTTCTTGATGTTCTGATGCCCAGCTAGCTTCCCTCATTTGAATTCTTTCTCTGGTCTCCGTGGGCATTTGAGTTTGCAATCCCTGCCTTAGAGTGTGCTCCCAGGTTCCCGTGCCCTAGTGGGTGCTTTGGGGGCAATGCCTAGAGTTCCATCGCTGGGCCTGTCAACGTGTCTGTTTCTGTCTCTCTGCAGGCTGTCATTGAAGGTGGTCTCTTCTGTTGCCAGCAACTTGAAACAGTCCCAGCAGCAACCCCCATCCTTCCATACCCCCAGACCTCAGCCTGTTCTCTCCACTTTCCAACATGGTCTCACTCAGGGCCCTGACTTCTTGCACTCACCCTGGTCTCCAGCTCTTGTTTACCACCCAACACTCTGGACTCACTTTTGGATAGGAAATAAATGCTTTATTTTTGTAGTTGTTGGCTCTGGCTTGGTTTCTGGGGGTTGGTCTGAGAACCCCAGGGCTTTGGAGGAGCCTACATGGCAGTCACTCCTGCACTGTACCCCAGGGCCCTGTTGCTGTCTCTAGGAAGGGCAAAGGCGCCAACCAATCCACTTGGCACCACGTTCACGCCACCAGAGGCCCCAGGGGTGAGGCAGAAACCTTAATGAGTCACTATGGGCCTGTTATATCCCTTCCCCCCCACCCCCACCCCGCCCCACAGATTCAGACACAGTATAGGAAGAACAGAGTCCTGGCGCAGGCCCACCTCTAGCTCTGGAAAGGTGACCCCCAGGACACCCCACCAATCCTGTATAACCGATTCTGTATGTATTGCAGGTAACACACAGCAGGGTTTAGGGGAAGGTTTGTCATCCACAAGAACCGAGTAGGATTCCCACTATGCGTCATCACCTCTGCTCTCGCAAGTCTTCTTAGCTTTCACTTCTCTGATCATCACTGGAGGGTGGCTGGGGGATGTTATGGATGTTGTTGGAAACAGCCAGCCTGGTGACCTGATAGAAGGAGGCGTGGACAGTTTGTGGCAGGTTATTCCTGACAGGTCACCTCAGGCTTGAGTATGACTGGTGTTGGCTGGTGTCTAGTAGGAACAATGCCCACAGCTGTCTCTGGGGTAAGTTTTGATTCCTTAGGGATTGAGTAGTGTTGCTGGGGATGGGATGCAGAAGCAGAGGAGGTACTGGTTTGTGTTGCGGGATAGGGATTGGGCAGAAGCAGTTGTGGTTCTAATCCACATTAAGGGGCTCAACCAGAAAAAACAGAAATAGTCCTGATCCATAGGGACAGATACTTGGTGATCTGTAGCTAGGACTGAAAAAAGCTCAGGTCAGGGGGTCTGGGGATAGGGTGGGACCAAACAGAAGTGTTCTGATGTGTATTTATGGATGGGGAGAGAGGAGACAGAAACGGTCCAGCTGGTTCTGGTTGGGGACGAGGGGAGGCAGAGGCGGAGGTGGTGCTGCTTTACAGCTGGACAGTGGCTGGAGCGCTTCCTTTCATCTTACCCCGTGGCCTCCAGAGAAAATTTCCTAAGGTGCTTCTATCACCTCCCCATCACGGAGTACCCCCAAAGGTCCGACTCCCAGAGCTAATTTGGCCCCAAAGTGCGGATGGGAGCTCCGGTTAACGAGTCACAGGACTAGTCCGCGCGGCCTCAAGTGCACACTCACACCATGTTTTTCCTCTCCCAATTCTGCACGCACAGCCCCCTGCCCTCTTCCAACGCTCTGTCGCCCGCCTCCCCTCCGGGCGCCAGGAACCAACCGTGACGCGGTTGGCACGCCTGCCCTTAAAAAGTTCCCGGCTGGGCTCCGCCTTGCCAGCAGCCGGCTCCACCCTGAGCCCGAGTCCCAGGCGGTCACCGGCTCCTCCCAGTGCCAGGAACTACAAGTCCCACCGTCCCCTGCGGGCGCACTGCCGCTTCTGCGGCGTCCCCGACTCACGCCAGGCGTGCCTCCCATTGGTCTCTCCTCCCTGCCAGTCACCTGGGAGTTTTGAGGGGCGGGTCCCAGGTGGACATCCGGATCCGGAGCGACTGAAAGGCGGAAGTGGAGGCCGGAGCCTGAAACACCGCCGGGGGGAGAGAATCGGAACCTGGCCGAGCCCCGGCTCCAAGTAACGCCGCCGCCCCGGAGCCGCCGTGAGTGTGCCTGTCCCGGGATCCGTGCCCCGCTCGCGTTAAATCTTCTTTGGGGCAGGCCTTCCTCCCGCCCAACCCCGGCTTAGGGGGATACTGACCCCTCCCCCGATCCGTAGCCCCCTCTTAAGGGGCTTCCCAGACGTCGGGCCACAGGGGGTCCCTTCTTCCCTTCTCCTGCCTGCCTTTCGTGAGCGGTGGGTTATCCCCAGGGCTCTCCTGTGGCCTGTCCAGTTCAGTTGTAGGAGGGAGATAACCCAAGTTCCGCTCCCTCTGTGCCTAGAATTGGAGGAGTCTGCCTGGTGCAAAGAAGCCTGTCCTCGTTCTCTTTTAGAGGTGGCCAGGAGTGTTATCGGTCGTCATTTTCCCTCACCCGCCCCGGCCCCACAAAAAAATAGTGGTGCTCTCAGCCCTAGAGGAATTTTACCTCGGTTCTTTTTTTTGGGGGGGTGGCGGGGGTCCTAGGAGAGACCGTTGCACACCACACGCTCCCACAGACTCCTACTTCCTCTCTTTCTCAAGCCAGAGAGCCTAACAGGATCTCCGCAGAGTTTGGGTTACTTTTTAGGAATGGGCTGTTTTTCTCCTTGCCTCCCCGCCCCCCAATCCCGTCTTCCAGTTATGAATCCTGTCCTCCAGTTATGTTGTTCTTTAGTGGTGGTGTTCTCTGAGTATCTTTCTTCCTGCCTCTCAAGAATTTAGCTGAGGTTTGCTTAATCCTAGCTACAGATCACAGATCAGGGTGGATCTGCCCATTCATTATCTTCTGTCTCTGCTCCTCCTCCCCGCCCCCCCTTGCTCCAGGCTCAGCACTGTCCTCCCAGAGCACGTGAGTGGTTTCCAAGCTGCCACTGAGGGACTGCTCCTCCTGGGACTGCTGCCTTCTGGCCTGTAGGGAGGAGGAAAAGATCGGGAATGAGGAATCCGGAATTGAAGGGTCCTAGGCTGTCTCTTTCCCACCCCAAAGCGCATGCATGCACACACCCCCCTGATCAACAGGTCCTCATCACTTCTAGTATCAGGGTCTGTCTCCATTTCTTTTTAGACTTGGACAAATTATAGACAGTAGAGAAATAAGTTGAGATCATAATGGTAACTCTGTATTCTTAATGTGCTAATCTTTGTAGCCCAGGGAATTCCCATACATGCCAGAAAATGCTAGTTCTTCTAGACTTCCTAGGAGACTACCTGTACTGTCATATGACCCTTGTCTGTTTCTTGGGACTTAAATGTGTGAAATGGCTGCTGTCTCAGACCAAGTTGGGCGGCTCTTTGTTATGTGGCCAAAGTACAGGCCAGAGACTGTACCTTAATGAGGGCAACCTGACTCTGAGGCCATGACTGACCCTTGCTATCTACAGTGGAGGGAAGACAGTGCAGTCTTTGGCATTTCTGTGGCTCAGTGTTCTGGACACCTTTACTGCCTTTGGATGCTATTTACAAGTGCTAAAAAAAAAATTTTTTTTTTTTTTTTTTGGGGGTCTTGAGAGCTTTTTGACTTCTGGACAGTCATCAGTGATCGTTTCCTACAGTCTTGAGCTAGACCTGCAGAGCATTTATTTCATTTCTTAACAGACAACAAAAAAGCCTTCCTTCAGTAATTGGAGCACAAATTCTCCGTATGGACATCTTTGGTGGATGTTGGGGACTTCTACACCCACCTAGTTTCTCTAATCTGGTCAGCCTGTGCCTCGGAGGGGCAGAGCCAGAGAGGCCACCTGTTCATCCGGCTTGGTGTGACCAAACTTAGTTCCTCAGTAGAAAGCTGCAGATCTGGAGCTCTTTGGGTGACCAGTCTTCTGAAGGGACCGTCCTTGTCTGGACATGCTCACCTAGCTCTGATTCTGAAACAGACTTTTGAAAGAAGCTCTCCCTTTCAGAGAGCTGAGAAGGCCCCAGTGCACCAGGTGGTTAGGCAGCCGCTTCTGGCATCGAGATTATAGAGTCTAAGGAGAGATCTGATGCTGCTGGGCAGAAAGAGGGAGGCTGTGTGTGGGGGGCAAAAGCCCCTCCTCTCAGAGCCATTCCTCTCCACTCTTGCTTCTTAAAGCTAGTTGGCCTTTTTCTACCTTTATACTAAAGAGGGGTGGTAACAACTAATTTTTAGAAATCATCTTAAAGTTGCAAAGTTCTTTTTTGTACATATTCCTCACAAGAATCCTGGAAGATAGTGGGATTTGTATCTCTACTCTAGGGATGATGCTGAAGGAATTTAAATAACTTACTGTTGATCACATGGAAAGTGGCAAAGAGCAGGGGCCTGGAGCTCAAGAGTGGGACAAGATGTGCCTCATCTTCCCTGAGAGTGGGCCTTCATTCAGTCAGTTCCTTAAAAGAGTGGACATGTTGGTGAGCAAGCACAGGCCCAGGTGCAGACCCATCAGCATTCCTCATCCTCTGCTTCCTTTTTCCTCCCCATCCCTTCCTCACCCTTCTGTCTTCTTTCTTGAGCCCCTTCTCCTCTGCCTCTGGGACCCATGGCAATTATGACTGCCAAGTTAGTACTCTTCAGGGCCTGAGAGCTTGCTGACATCTGCATACCCTTCATTTCTTGGGAACCTAAAAGTCATGATGGCTAGAAAATGAAAGTAAAAGTGAGTGGACTCAGGGGTCCTTGGAGCAGGCCAAGGGTATAAGGAACCAGTGAGGCTGACCTCTGCTTAGCCCCCTGATTCTGCTTTGGTGCTGTCTCCTGCTTGCAGGTGGGAAGAATGTGACCCTCCACCATGAGCTCTTTTCACTAGAATTTACAGGAAAACAGAGCAATGTTCATATATTTAAATTCAGTCCCACCAAGCACTTCTTAGAAACAACTTTCTTCCTCGAAGGTAAAGAGAGAGAGGCAATGTGGTGGGCTGGAAGGCCCTAGAACTTTAGAATCATCCAGACCTGAGTTCACATCTGGATTCCCCCATTTTAAGTTGTATGGCCTTGGGGTTGTTACTTGACCTCTGGAGCCTCTGTTTCTTCCAGTAAAATGGGGGTATAAAATATCTTATAGAAATAGGAACAAAGGGTGAAAGAGTGAGTCCATTCCCTGGTACAGAACTTATAGCTCACAAATAGTAATTTTGTGGGTTCATGGCATTTGGAAGATGCATCATAGAATTCCTCCCTTAGGTTTCTGATTCAACATTCATACCGCATGTCACTGTGAAGCCTGGTGCTTTATTTGATGGTTTCACATGTTGTCTTGTCTCATAGATTCTGAACAGTGGAAGTGGGTGGTATTCCCATTCTACAGAATGCTAACCCATGGCTGTGCATCTCCTGCTGGGCTTCCCCACCCTGCTGGGGTTTCTGACCTGCTGGGGTCGTGTGTGGTGGATACAGAACCTGAGTGAGGTCTTTGCATCTTTTAGGTACTTCCATCTTGCTCACTTTTACACATTTTCACATTAAAATAGTTCTGAACCTACTATAAATTGAATGCAAAGTTTGTATGAATTTAAGCTAAAACAGGAAACTTGAAGACAATATTTTAGTTGCAGCAGGCTGCTTTGGGTTTGATTCTCAGATTCTCCTGGGGCTTTGCTTTTCCTCTCCCTGGCTTGAGTCAGGGTACTTTGTTGGGGCCATTTTAGAGACATCATTTCAGGAAGGATTTATAAACTAGGATGTCCCCAAATCCAGGTAATAGTGCTGTCTAGAGCATTAGCAGAGAAGAACTGGGGTATTTCTTAAGAACTTCTCTGCCTCTTAATACCATTAATAGCCCGGTGTTCTTTGGCATTAGTTTTCAGGGTAGACATACCTAGGTAGAAGCAGCGGTTATAGGTCACAGCTAAACTCTTCGAGCTTTTTGCCTACCACAGGCCAGGTGATCTCCTGAGCCCTTTGTATGTTCTCACCCCTTGAATCCTCACAGTGTCCCCGGGAGGAAGGTACCATGTGCGATCCCCAGGTTATGGTCACAGACTCCATAGTAAGTGGCAGAGCAGGGACCAGAGTCATGTCTGCTTGGAGCCCCATGAAACACAGTGCTGTCTCTGGAGTGTGTGTGCCTTCCTTGGCCTGGAAGGCTCTCTGCCTCCCCTGCCTGGGAGCTGCAGCTCTCCACTTTCTTTCCAAAACTCAGTTGGAATGCTGTTATCCTGCTTCCTCCGGAGTCCTTCCTTCCTCCAGGTAGGCTGAGGACAGGCCTCCCTGTGCTGGCCTCCCATTACCGGTATGCCCCCTTGTGTGGTGTATGGCCTGCTAGGGGCACAGGTTGTTTTGTCTCTGTGTCCAACACCTGCGATGTACCCACGTGGTGGGCACCCACTTTGGTGTTCAAGGGAAGGGCAGCCCCTTCACTCCTGCCCTAGAAGCCAGTGTCAGGCCACTTCCCATACATGCACTTCTTATTCTTAAGCTCACAGAGCTTGGTTGTCAACCTCAGATTCACCCTCACATTCATCTGACCCCAACTCTTGTGACATTTCTTAGTCCTTCCTCCAATAAGCTGCTCACAGACAGAGCAGACAGGTAAATAAGATGAATGCTACGGTATGGTTGCTGTGGAGGCGGGACGGACCAGGTCACACACTCAGTCTCCAGAGGCTGGAACTCCCCAGATCTCCATTGCCAGTGGAGGGGTTCCAGGGGAAGGTAGCTGTACTGCTGCGCCTGTGCGTGTGTGTGGCGGGAGGGGGGCGGGCGGCAGCAATCCCAGGCCAGGACTTAGTGAGGATCCACAGAAGCGAATTAACTCTGGCCCCAGGTGCTACTTGCACATCTGCACAAGACTCCTTGAGGGAGGTGGGTTTAGGAAGGTGATGCCCGCAGCTCTGTAGACCGCTGAGTGGTGCCTCCCATTGTGGGGCACAGGCGTGGCCCCAGAATCCCCCGGCCCCGAGTCTGCAGGCTTTGAGTGTTACCCACTCTTCACCCTGGACTGTAGTCACTTGGCATTATCTGTAAATTCTTGGAAACTGTAAGTTTAAGGGAAGCGACATATAATGAAACCAATTACTATAGACTGAGCAAAACAAGGGTTGAATTCCTGTGGCAGATTTCTGGTC